TAACCATGATCATTCTATACACATTGCAGTTTGTTGCTTATTCTAGAGTTGTGCTCAAGTTGATTAAAGGTTAAAAGCTGATCTATGGAGGGCACATATCACATATAAAAATCATGAATATTTTACAGGTTAAGCTATAAGGATCGAGGCTTGTTTTTAATCATCTTGGTTTGGCAGCTCCTTTGATCACTGTTGAAAGTTATTGATTCTATAAAAATTGCAGCATATATCTAAAGTCACTTTTTTGTATGGTTTTTCATATAAAATCATTGTTCACTACGAAGAGGGAAGAATTGAGGCTTGATTAGCACTGTGTTGCTGCTACAAGGTGGCAGAGATCCTCAGTGGCCATTGTTGCAGAGCAAGACCAGAAAATTGCACCACACAGTCTGTCTCAAGAAGTTTCTTAACTGTGTTGAATCTGTTGACTTTGTGGATCTTCCCTTTTCCTTTTTTTTTAAAAATAATTTTTCGTCTTCTCCCTCATGCTCTTTATAATGTGTCTTTTCATATTTTTTTTAACAATGTATTTGCATGTTTTTCTTTTTCTGTTGCCCTTTAAGCATAATTTTTGACCTAAACAGTTCCAGATAAACTTTGAATGACTACTGTCTCCTTGCCGAAAGATATGAAAACAATATCATGGTGTGCAGAAAGCTTCTTGCTAGCATCTTGTCAGAGTGGACACACAGTGGATACAAGATATGGACTCATGAAGCACATGGTGACAGTTACAGCATTTTAATAAAGTAATGCAACTAACATTTTAACAGCATGAAGGTGCTCCTCCAGTGTAACTATTTTTGGTGTACTGCCTACATGTTCACTGACATACCAGTTACCATCCTTTGGTTTCAAAAAGGTGTAACAGTCAACCTCAACATAATGATGAGTCATGAACCAGGACTGGATCACAAAAAAATTGCAAAGCATGTATCCTTGGCTGTTTAACAGAAAAAGACACAAATTACAGTATTTTTACTCAAGCTACCCTACATCCATTTAGGCCTGTAAAACAGATAAATTCATACTACATATACATTTTCTCTTTCACGGTTAAAGAACAAAACAAAACAAAACAATCTGACAGTAAACGTAGCCAATTAAGTATAACACATAAATTGTGCCCTAAAGCTAATAAATACATATATTAAGAAAAACAATGTGAATGCTAATACTGAATATTTGCTTCCTTAGTCAGCTGTTTTACATTCATTTTGGGAAATGTATTTGTATTCCTTGGCAAAAAGTGTGCATGAGGATTCCACTCATGCATCAAGTATGCAGCTAAAGCCAAGAAAACGTTAGCACTGTTTGGTTATGACAACTAGAAACTGGGAAATCTGCTAACACTTACCTCTACTCGTCAATATTTAACAGATTTAATCTAGGTGTGTTAAATCCTTGCACAAACATAAAAAACTGTTTTGCACAATTGCTATGAATAGCACCTGTGACACTGCACAGATGTGTAAGGTGAACTGATAAACTGGGGTTTCATCAGCAACTACTGATGATGGCACATCATTATCTATAGCAAGTTTAGCTGGCCTTTCTGCTGGTTCTAGTTTCATACTTAATGGCAAAGAGAACTGAGTTATTATAATGTGTTCTTTTGCAAATTACTCAGGTGTCATATTACTTTGTCTTTTGCTGCAACTTTCCTCACTTTGTCACTTGCGGCATTTTCACACCTATAGGTGTTTGACTCTGGTCTGCATCACTTTTTTTTCACATTTGTTTTTTTTTTCCACACAGAAAAAATCTCTAAATGAACTCCAAGAGAAATATAATATTCTGCTTATCACCACTGGTGTAAAACACTCTTAAATGTGATTTGGATCAGCTAGCCAGCCCGTTAGTAATCTATGCATTCCTATCTCCACACCATCAAGCTAGCCAAAACTTTGTTCCCATTTCACTTAATGTGTGCCAGCACTGAAGATGATTTGTCCTATAATGTAGCTATTTACACTGATGCAGCCTGGAAGCTGACTGATCATTCTCCTGGCTGTTAGCTAACGTGGGGCTAAAAAGAGGTGCAGTCACTGCTGAGGAGTTTGAAACTGAATTAATGTGAGTACTAGTCCCTACTGCCATTGGAGCAGTAGCTGCAGGGTAAAAATGGACATCAACAGCTACTGTGGTGAGGCCCACAGAGACGTTGTGAGACAGCAACAGTGGAGGGTTGCCATGTGAAATGCTGAGACTGTGGTGGATAGGTGCAACGCATGGCTCAGCACTCTGCAGTGTTAAAGAAGAGTGCACGCTTTCTTCCCGCCTGGATGGTGGTGATGGGGAAGGAGAACGGGAGATTAAGGGTGAGGGAGGAGGCAACGTGTCCTGGCATGGGCTTTGGTTGTCTCCTCTGTTACTGGTCCAATCCTCAGTACAGTGCACCTGAATGCTGGGCTGGGACAAACTGCACCCTTTCTCCTCCTCCAGAGAAGGATCAATCTGAAAGTAGAGAGGATTTGTTAATAATAACATAAGAGAAAAATGTTTAAAATGCAGTGAAATCATTACACTGTTGCCACATTGTTATCTTTAAAGACAACTCTGATGATTGAGCATTTTATTACTATAAGGCTGTTGGTTTAGTCCTTGCATGTGCCAGTTTAAATTAAATGGAGACATCAGCACTGTTTTCAGTGCAGTACTTCTTTTTATTATCTTAATGGTTTGTTCTTTTTATTAAACTGTGCAAACTGTGACCGTTTGTACACTTATATAGGGTTTTAGCTCCCCCTATAGGTTATATAGTATGCCACAGTTGTTAGTTAAATAAACGAAGCTGGATATGCTGTTTTCATAACTAAATATAATAATTTCTAATATTTATCATTAACAGTGTGACCCATCCAACCATCCTCTTCCAGTTATCCAGGCTGGATGGAGTGGGTTGAGATGAGTTTCAGGGGTGATTTGTGACAGAAGGATCGCAGCAAGAGGCAGCAATCAGGTTTTTATCTTCTATGTAAAGCATATGTGCCATTTAAATAAAATTATCATTGCCAAGAGAGAAAGCACTGACAAAAAGACAAGAGGCAGAGCGAGAGGTGGTAGACATGAAGATGCTCGAATTTTGACTGAGAGTTACCAGGACAAAATTTGAAATGAGTATATTGGAGGGACAGCTCAGGTTGACCAGTTTGGAGACAAAGTTAGAGAGGGTAGGGTGAGATAGTTTGGATATGAGGGATAGTCAATATAGTAAGCAAAATATGTTAGTATTTTATGTTAATATGGAGCTGCCAGGCAGGAAGAAAAGGGGAAGACCCTAGAGAAAATTCATGGAGGTAGTGAAAGAGGACATAAAGAAGGTTGGAGGATGTAAGGGATGGGCTGAGATAGAGGCAGATGATCTGCTGTGTTGACCGCCTAAGAAGTCCAAAGAAGAAGAAGAATCATCAGTGGTTGTTCTGGACCCTATCCCAGCTGTCACAGGGTGAGAGGTGGGGCACACCTTAGATAGGTCACTAGTCTATCTAGTCTATCAGAAGGCCGGAGAACATGCACACTCCAAGATCCACACAGAAAGGCTGTTGCTGTGGCTCGGTGGATTCAATCCCAGGACCTTCTTGCTGTGGGACAATGGTGCTGACCACCATACTATTGGGTTGCCTCAATAAATTTGTAACTTTCTTAACTTCCCCTTAAACACGGATAAAAATGTCTCGATACATTTTTTTATGGTAAAGTGTTTCTGTGTTACCAGACCTTGGTGTCAAGAATAGGCTCAGGGTACGTCTCTACAGTGACTGAGTGGTTGTCCAGAGAGCGCTGGGTATCCTCTTGTACTTCATCAAACGTGCGCTCCATCTGCACCGTAACCAGGCTGGGCCCTGGGGGTCTGGCTCTGGTTTCTGATGTGTTGGGGCTCTGTTCAATCACTGCAACACAGTCATCATCTTCAAACGCTCTGCATAAGACATACAACACTTGGTATTAGAATGCAGAAAGATGGGTTGTGAAGGCTAATTTATTTTTCTATTCTGAGAAGTAGAGTACCTGTTTTCATACGTACGTCCTGCTGCTCGACGTTCAGCATGTCGTATGGGAACACCTAAATTCCTCTGAGCTGTCAAAGACATGTAAAGTGGTTTTGACGTAATAATAAAAAGTAACATTTGGGTTAAAATGCTCTACATATGTGCTTTCTGGTAGAGTGACACAAGTGGATCAATTACCTGTTTAAAATAAAGCTAATTTAGCTTACCTTGGCAAAAAGATATAAGAGGTAACCAGACTGTGTTCAGTGTTAAAAATTCATCTGAAAGCACATGTAGAGCTCAGTTATTATTATGTTATATCATTTTTGTTTGAGCCAAGTATATATGGAAAACCTGCAGTTCTTTAAATGGCCACTTGAGGGTGGCTCTTTAAGCGAGTTAATTCATAAACAAGTCAATGTTAAAATGCCCAATGTATTGAAAGTCAAAATACAAATGTTCACTTCCTAAGTAAATTTAAACTATAAACTAAATTATAGTTTAATTTTACTAGCCAACCCTAGCACTCTAATACACAGTTAATTACAACTTGTTACACTAGCACCTCACTTGCTAGCCAGTGCAGTGTTGGTTAATAACTTTCTATCAATTCCATCAAGATCCATCCTCTTTCACTTATCCAATTCAGGGTCGAGGGTGGGCTGGAGTCTATCCCAGCTACCATAGGGTGAGAGGTGGGGTACTCCCTGGACAGATCACCAGACTGTCACAGCCTCACCACCCCAATCATTTCGATTTTGCCAAAATACGGTCATGATTTTAGGAAAACCAAGACACTAGCATTTCATGCAGGGCGGATTGCTGACCTGCTCGGCTTGTTGGTGCGGGTTCATTCTTTTGTACCACAGAATAGAAGGTAACAGTGATAAAGATGAAAGCCAAAGATACACCCACTCCCACCACAATGGGGATGTCATGTTTTTCCAGCACAGGCAGCCATGATGGTGATTGCTGCTTCACTCTGAAATGGAGAAGATAGTGACTTATTGATGTTTTATTACTTTTGTTCCCTCAGGTGAAATATTTATCAATCTATCATCTTTTTATTTTGCCTACCTGGGATCATTGCTAGTCATGGGTGATTGGGAAGTGTTCCTTTTCAACCAGTCTGTGAGCTCTGGCTGAACTGGGTGACTTTCATGAGTAGTATTCAGCCAATGTGACCTGTTGACCTGTTGGACTACCTCAGCGTCTAACAATGAAGGATGGAGTGACTGATCTGAAGGGCGGATGGTGGAGAATGGAAGCTGTGAATTTTGTGTTGGAGATGATTCAGGTTGGGTTTGAGAAAGTTTGGAACTGGCTGAAGGTGTTGTTGTTGAAAGATGAATTTTGGATATTGGAGGCGTGGGGATTAAAGAAGATGGAAGTTCTGTTGAAGGCAGATTATACTGAATTGTAGAAAGCTCAAGATGAAACTTTGGTAAAAAACTTAAGGTAGAGGAGTGTTGAGGATCAGTTTGAGTTGTTTGTGAGAGGGTTGGTGAAGGTTGCAAAGGCTGAAATGATGATGTTTTGTAGGCAACTGTCAGGGTGACTGAATCGGAGTGTCTCATCTTAGCGTGGGTAATAGGATTTGGTGTTGGAGTTGCCATGAAGGGGTCCGATTTTAGAAAGCCAAAAGGTCCAGTAGCACGTAGCTGAGATGGTTGCTGAGTTACTGATGTCTCTGCAATTTGATTAACTTGAGGCACAGAATGGTCCTGAGAACTGGGCACTATAAACAACTTGTTACTGGCTGAATGCTGAAATTTTGATGGCATTTGTCTCAAATGGGATCGACTTTCACTGAATAGATGCTGAAGGGTTTCGACCAACACTCCACTGGTTACTTCAGGTGCCAGGCTCTGTGTTGCAGCTGGTTCACTGTGTGAAATAAAATGTGGTTTAATGGTCATTGGTACTTGGGTGTGTAGAGCTTCTGATTGGAGGTTCAGGTGAAGAGGAGGCTTGATCTGACTGAGTAACGACTGGGTAGAATTGGTTGTTGGCTGTTTCAAATGGTGATGTAAAACATGGGCAAGCGTCCTCAATGGCATATCTAGCTCAGCCCCGGCTTTTCTTAAAAATGTTGGAAGTGTAGTTGCACTGACTGGGTTGGTACCTGTAAATATTAAAAAAAGAGTTTATGCTTTATTTTCTTTAATATATCCTAAACAATTTTATGTTGTGTGTTATTATTATGTGTCATTCAGAGGAAAAAAAAATCTGATTTCATCTGAAGGGATCCAGCCATACAAAATGTAAGCAGTTCGATTAGTAACGTGCGCACCAGAATAATGCCTCTCATAATTGTTGCTTTACATTTATATTTACTAATATTTCTTGTAACTGAATCATAAAGTAGCATTAACATAACACAGACACAAAAATATGATTTATTACTTTTTTAAACAAAATATTTCCATGTCAATTTTGAAATCTGAGCAGAAAAAACTCCTGCAGCTCTTATAGCAGGATTATTTGGCATTTAGCATTTTTTTTTAGCTTTTGGATGTCCTGACACATCTTTTTTGTCTTGTGGCAATGGTAACAGACACAAAATTGAAATGATACCTTTATCCTGGAAAGTTTGTGAGAACTTCTGGTTACCCAACTTCTAACTCTACCATCGCCTGATCTGAATCCCTCTTTGTGACCAATTTTACCTAGCAACTGCCAGCAACCACTAAAAACTTCCAAAAACCACTCACCAGCTGATCTGGGAATACACATTTTTCCTTAGTGACCTGTGGTTGCCAGGGGTAGTCACTGACTGGTCTCTAGGCCTGTATGACTGAGACCTTACCACTGCTTTCAGCCATATTCATTTTACCTTATAACCTCATAGCACCGTGTTTTAGCCTGTTAACTTGTAACTATATATTTGTTATGTTGAATGACCTACACAACACATGACTGGAGCTAAGTATTTTTTTTTAAATACATACATGTTGTCTCATTATGCTTTTCCTGTACATGTGGATAACGTGTTGTTTTAAAGCGCTGCTCGGCTACTGAGTCGCTCCACTTGGAAGCTGGACGTTGTTCATTATCGCTGGTGCTCTAAAAAATATTCAAAACACTGATTATTTTCAGAGGAGACACATTTGACACAGTCAAAAACGAATAAGTCCATACACCAAATAATAAACAGGGGTAAACAATGCATGACCATCACATGATCTGTGCGAAAAAATGCACTTAGAAAATTTGCAGCTTCTACACTGGAACTGCTTATGAAAATAAAACCAAGGTCTAGCAAAATGATTTGAGAACAAAATACATAAGCAAAGACTTCCACATCCTCAATACTCACAGCAGACAAAACCAGTCTTGTCCGTCTCCCTCTATCAGAAGGTCGATCTTCAGCATAAGACAAAGGATGACATGAAAGAGAATCAACAAGCAAAAGAAACTTGGGTATATGGGGTCAAAGAAGTATTTTGTTGTTTAAGTATGCACTGAACTTCACCCACTCTAAATGACCAGAAGACAGTTGCGAATTCCCCTGAGAGAAGTATCTGAGTGACCCACATTTATTATACTGATCCAAACATACACTGATAGTCATGAAAAACATCTCAATGTCCTGAAAAAACTAGTCTGACCCCTCACAGGGGTCAGACTAAGCCTTGATCTCAACACATTGGAGTCTGTCACTTCAATTAAATTGCCAAATTGTTCATACATTTCACATCTTCAGTTTTGTTCATAGAGCTTTACCATTGCATACCAAATGCTGCTATGATTTTAGTAATATTGCCACTGAGAAGAAATAACACGAGGTGGTAAATCAACACACCTGTGATGATGAGGATCATCCGTTTCTGATGTCGTCCTGCTCGGTTCTCAGCAGTGCAGTAATACTCTCCTGCATCAGAGTACTGCACACTGGAAATATGCAGGGACCCATCTTCTGCAGGCCAGAAGACAAAACATTATAAAACACAAAGAGCTGAGATCTCACATACCGTTTAGAAATTAGAAAAAAAAATTCCTGTATACTTCCATCTCTGCCGAGAATGCTACTTATTTTATATGCTGAAAACAACTCCAAATGATGGAGCTGGTGATTAAAATAAATGCTGAGAAAGTTCAAGCTGCAGCAACACTTGTGGTATATAGAACAACTCTACTGCTTGACTGGATCTGTGGCCTTAATCAGGGTCATCAAACAATAAAGTTGTTCTATGTGTTACATTAACTTATTCGGATTTTATTCTCTTCTACATACCTATGAAGTAGGGGACGTTGTGCCTGAAACGGTTACTCTGTTTTCATGATGAAAAGTAATGCAGAATGACTCCAGACAAACTAGACTCACCATCTATGTGTCTGCCTTCGGTGGTACTGATAGGGGACTGTGGCTCTGTTCTGCCCCTCATCCAGGTGTATGTGATAGGGAGAATCCCCATTGCTCTGCAGGGCAGGACCACTAAAGTCCCAATCGTGTAGGTCACCTGATCTTTAAAGACCACTATTAAAGGGCTCACTGGCCCAAGCAGAGGGGAAAATTGAAAAGACAATATCAAAAAAGTCACATAAAGCTCATAGATCATAGAAGTGCCTTAAAGAAATAACACATACAAGAACTGTTCCCCTATAAAGATTTTAGTAACTATGTAAAATTTTGAGGACACGGTATGTTCTGCTACCTGGACTATGACTCTTTAGAATTAGTTTATGAAACTAGCAATGTGTGCAGATGGCAAATAAAATGACAATTTCATTCAAATGGTCTGTTACTTTGATCACATTTGCAAGACTGGATTTCAAGGTGATCTCCATGTCCTTTAATTTCAAATATGTAAGACGTTTGTACTACACAAGAAGAATTTCTCAGTTTCTTTCCTGTGTATAATTCAGTTCTTTTAGAAGGACCTTGGTTGCAAGCATGTACTTTTCTATAATAGCAACAGGTTTTTTCTTTTCTTTTCTTTAATGCATTTCAGCTTAATACCTATTAGATAATTATTCATGATTTTTCATTTTTGCAGCCTAGTGTTCCTGCACTCTCAAAACAACACAGTACAGCTGACATGTTAAAATGAATGATCACACACACTTGTTGATCTGCCAATGAGGACCACGCCCATGCTTTGATAATATTATGTACACTATGAAGATACCTTATAGGGAATTACAAATTCACTGCAACTTAAAAGCAATATTAAATAGGGGCATAAAGCAGAGGGACAACAATCCCTTTGTCTTCCAGGCTAGGGTTTGCTTTATTTAGTACACTTATCAGTGGGTCAGACCAAACTCATATCTAAATCCTCACCTTCATTATGATCTAAAAGGTTTGCATTAACAAGAACATATCTGTCGTCATACCTAGTATTGAACCAACCACAACATCTAAAGCAGGGGTAGGCAACTCCAGGCCTCGAGGTTTTAGATGTGTCCATGATCCATCACAGCTGATTTAAAGGGCTAAATGACTCCTCAGCATTTCTTGAAGTTCTCCAGAGGTCTGGTAATGAACTAATCATTTGATTCATGTGTGTTGACCCAGGGTGGGATCTAAAACCTGCAGGACACCGGCACTCGAGGCCTGGAGTTGCCTACCCCTGATCTAAAGTGTATAAATGCTTAGTAAGTATCAGACACATGCTCCTGACTTGACTTTGTCTCGTCTATTGATCTGAGGAGTAAATACATTGCAAAACAGCAAGGTTTAAAATTTACCAGCAACTCTTAGGAGTGCTGTGCCATGGCTTTGTCCCAGTGTGTTGGATGCCTCGCACACATACACCCCCTCATCGTAGCTCCGGACTGACTGGATGTAGAGAGTGGCATTTCTCTGTCTGAATAGGAAACATGAAAGCTGCCATATATTATGAACTGCTTGTGTACAAAATTTTCAAAAAGTCAGAACACTGTAACTTACGCCAATGCAATTTTGCCTCCTGTCTGCTTGGTGTGGCCTCTTTTCATCCAGCTGATGGACGGTAAAGGGTGGCCAGACACCTGACATTCCAGCACCACCTGAGCACCCAAAGGCACCGTCAATACCTGGGGCCATAGCTTGACGGATGGAGGGGCTGCCAGGAAGGGAAAGCACTGTCTGGAATATTATTATGCACCTATACATATATATATATATGTATATATACATTTCCAGTGAGATAGTAGGGAGGGCTGCCAGATGTCATACCCAAAACAGTGAGTGTTGCTCGTCTCGAGGTAAGAAATCTTTGAAGATGGGTGTTTGAGGCCCTGCAGAAGTAGCTGCCACTATCGTGCTCCTGCACACTACAGAGAAAATTATGGAAAGGGTCAGCAGAGCTTTTAAAAACAAAAATCAGCTGCCTGGAGCTGTATTTACAGGCACAATTTTATAACTCTATGACTTCATGTTAAGCGCTAAACATACCGTAAACAATGCAAATTAACTAAACTTTTTTAAAAGTTTTGGCCCAACCAGTTAATTTATACACAATTTTTGTGTTATATTTAATTTATCTAGTCATATAATGAGGCATGAACAATAAAGACCTGTGGATGAAGAGGTCTCCACTGGGCAGCATTGTTACATTTTCAGTGGGAGTGAGAAGCCGGTTGTTTTTAAACCAGGACACCTGCGCTGCTGGTCTGCTGTACGGAGGCCTACAGGTTACCGTAACATTTTTGCTGCTCTTCACCGTTAGATTTGTGGGCTGCTGCACAAAACTCCAGTCCATTTCTGTAAACACAAAATGTAAATCACTAATAAGTTTGGACATCTGCTCTTATTGGATTTTGCTGATTTTTACAGCATGGAATCTGCTGAAGCAGAAACCTAAACGGTTTTAACAAGGCAATTCACTTGCTTGAGTTAAACAGTTCAGAGTTTACAATACCAGCTGGAAGTAGGAAGGCTGGCTGCGACCTGATTGTCTCTTTCTGGTTTGATGCTTCACAGTGATATGAGCCCTCATGCTCCTTGCTCACATTTCTGGAGAAGACAAACACAAAAAATATTTTAAATGTAATTTTAACATTTAGGGATTCTTTTTGATTTTGTTTGCTTTTTCTTTTTTTTTTCTTCTTAGACTCATGTGCAGCCAGTTTAGAAACACTAATTAATATTTGAACTGTGGGAGGAAGCCAGAGTTCCTGGAGGGAATCCCCCAGTGGCAGATTCAAACACAACAGTCTTGTTGTGAGGCAACCCTGCAGGGAATACAGAATATTTACAGAAATGTCTTCTGTCTCTAAAACACCCAATCTTTATCCTTCCTCTTTAGCCTTCCTTCTTTTATGCACCAGTAAGAACCAGAAACTATTATATTTGTACCAGAAGAAAAAAGACAAAATCTTTGACTGTATCATCAACTGTCAACCACAGTTGGAGTTAAACAATAAAGAATTAATATTCCTGTTCTGCCATGCAATGTTGGACCTGAATGTGAGCAGCTGTCCATTGTTTTGGAGGCTGAACGAGCCGGAGCAGTTCATCAGGAGGCACCCGTCTTTGAACCAGTGCACCATGGGAACAGGGAAGCCGAGAACACTGCAGTGCATGGAGACTTCAGTTCCTATAGCAACAGTGATGTTGTCAGGGCCCTGGATGAACTGCAGCCTCCGAGGGACCCCTGCAAGGCAGACAGTCACATAAGATACTAACCCTCTGCAAACACACACAAGTATGATAAATTAGTTTAGTTTTTTTTTTTTTTTAATTAAAGCAGTATTTTTGTTAAAACCAGAGAGCTCAGGATTTATATTTAATAAACTCTCCTGGATCAGCTGCAATTTGAAAATTTGTCAGTGTGAATTAAAGAAAAAGCCTCACCCTGCACAGTAAGTCTGGCTTGTCTGCTCTTCTTGCTGATGTTCAGTGAAGGATTGTGTGTGACACAAACGTAAACCCCTTCATCTTCTAATGTTACGTTGAAAAGATGAAGAGTGCCTGACGTTTTCTTCTGGTGCCCACCTCCATATTCACCCTGAGCAGGATGACACATACAGTATGGAAAATATGTCCAATATCAAAGTTAAAAGAAACAACGTGTATTTTTCTGTTTTATTTTTGCCCTGAGTGAAATAAAAAGTGTTTTTTCTCATGAGGCTTTAAGAGTCTCCTTGAGGTTTGTGAGTTCTTCAAATCAATTTCTATTTGTAAGGTTGCCCAGCATTTAAGTCAGCACTGTGTTCTGTGTACAAGCTCTGCAGACAGAAAATTTTGCACCTACAAAAAAATTGCTATAGCAGTTTCAGTAAATGCTGTTTTAAAAAAAAGAAAAAGAAAAATCAGGGTAATCAAACTCCTAATCAATTAGTTTTTTTATATAATGAAGACGCCCAAGAGAGAAACTACAGCCTGATCTGATTATAGTAGTTTCCAGCAGTGCAGGTGGATGCCTTACACATGAAATTTATGTCCAACCATCAAGTTGAGGCTCAAACCATGGCTTTAAAATTCACAAGAAAACTGTTAAAAACATGAATTTGAGAATGAAATTGGCCTTTCTTTAGCCTGGATTTCTCTAAACTGCAGAAGAAATGCAAAGTGTAAAAACTGTTCTCCACTCTATGCCTGATTATTGTCTTTGAGTCTTATGGAGACTGTTACTACATTAATATCTACCAGATATATTTACTGCTTTTTGTCCTACTCTGCAAGAAAGTAGTCTTTGATGCCCTTCTAAAATCTGAAGTTGTTTTTTACCTGAATCTGTCTACCTCTTGTGACCACCTTTCCATCTTTGAGCCATGTGATGCTTGCAGGAGGTGAACTCTCCCCTGATACACACCGGAGGAAAACTCCCTCTCCTTCTCTGACTGTCTGGTCCTGCGGACTGAAGAAAACATCCTCCAAACCTGGAACACACACAGTGTATCCATTCAGTGTGCTTTGAATATGTTACTCAATATTTTATCCAGCACTAGTGGAAGTATTCAAAATATTTACTTAAGTAAAAGTATTGATATCACAGATATGGTCAGGTGAATGTTAAACTAAAACTGTTAAGCCTTACACTGCATCAACAGTTTGATATAAATGATGTGTCCATGTTGTTTTGCAGGGGACACCAACTAATGGTTATTTTCTTACTTGAATAGTAATAAATTGCTAATTTGCTGATATATTTCTTCAATCAGCAAATACAGATGATAAAATGTGAGCAACTTATCAATTTTACCCACAGCTGATAGTATCACTGTTGCTGAACCAGAAGTTAAAGCTTTAGTTTATTAGTAATTTCAATATTTGAACAGGATGGTAAAGGCATCTTCTTTAAAAAACCGGAACTATTAGTACTAGTAGTAGTAGTTTTATTATTAGTATATACATTTAAGAGTATATTCTCATGAGAGAATATGTCAGTTGCATGATTGTTTCCTTTTTTGTTTAAAAGTTTAAAAGTCATTATAAATGTAGTGTAATAAAACATACAAATAATCCTCTGGAAGAAGAATAAGTGTAAAGTGCCATAACAGGCTACAGCACAAGTACATCTAAGCTTTACTTAAGCACAGTGCTACCACATTTCAACATTTTAATAAAAAAAAAATATATATATTTTTTTTAATTTAGTGGCATTTTTATTGACCAACAACCCTTCTTTTGACTTTATCTCGTGGCCAAACTCAATAAAAACAAAAGAGTAGATGGACTCACCAAACTGGGATGAGACTGCCAAGCCAGACAGGATGAGTAAGCAAAGATGGGAAGTCATCTGTGGGAGCAAACAGATGGAGACACACACTTGCATCCTACTGCCGAGCTCCATGGGAGCCACTCGGAGACCATCCTGCAGCTTCATCCATGGTGTCAGCTGGAAGAGTGTGCACACATAAAGGATCTCTTATTTCTCTTTACTTACTATCACTGATGGAGACTGCACATTTACTGGCAGCACTGAGGTGTGTGATCTTCATTTGGCAACGGACACGCTAAAAAGGATCTTCAAAGCATCTCTGCAGCAGAGGCGATGCATGCTGTGTATCGCGAACTGCAAAGGGTTAAGTTTAAGGAGGAGACAGAAGCAAAACGTGACTATAAACGGTTATGTTGTTCTGAAGGGGTTTTTATCAGCTCTGTAGTGCTGTTGTTAAGCTACATGCAGACACACAAGAAAACAATCAAATAGGTTTTTATAACACAAAGTTATCAACCAGTAAAAAAATTTGGGGGGATGAGGGATGAGGTTCAGTTTGGATAAATATACTGACACAAAACTGAGTAAACCTACTCAGTTATATTAACATGGTGTAACTTTTATATTAATGTTGTCCTTTTGATTTAGTATTAAAATAATGACCCATTGGTAGACACCGTGGGTTAGCTCATACCCAAGACATCACTTACCATTAACAGGCAGTAGTACATAGCATCATATACTTCCAACTTTTAAATAACCAGAATATTTATTCATATTTTAAGGCAGTAATTCTCAGATTTTAAGTGTTCAATCTGATGTAAAAATATATGATAGTGTTCCAGAGATTCTCCACAGTGATATGACTTTTATTTTCATACACTACACACCACAGAGACTGAACCTGGTGTTGCATAGAACCATTTCTCATCAGTTTCCAGTAAATATATTCAGCAGATTAATTTAAAATCCTTCCCTCTCTCCCTCTCTTTCTGTTAACAGCCTCCCCTCCCTTCCCCCCTCTGCTTCATTCCTATTTTGGTTGTGAGTCTGTGGTGCCGCAGTGAGCTCAGCTTTGTCCTCTTTAGTCCCTTGAATGGGCCCAGCCACTTTATAGAGCTCGCACTGTGGCCCTCCACTCAATGAAAGTGACATGAAAAGAGGCTGCGGAGCTTTGTACTGTAAAGATCAGTTATTGGTCCCTGCGAGGACAGCTACCCGTCTGATCGTATAGGCTTTCATGATCCTCAGTATGGCCATGTAAGGGCTCACCCTTTATTATTTGAATGTGATGATGAAGTTCCACGAGTGAACAATTATAGTATATAGTTAAAGCCAGACAGTGACAAAGTCAAAAAGCTAATAATGGATACATTTATTAGTATTTTGGGGATGATTTTTTAAGACAACCTCTGTATATAAAAAGCAGACTGCTCATGAATATATTAAAAAAAATCAGAAAATACATTTTAAAAAATACAAATGATTAAGCGGAGCTTGATGTCTGGTCTACTGCCATTAAATTATTGCCGAAGAGTGAGCCATAAGAAAACCAAACGGCAAACAAGCATCAGGAAGCAACTAACTTGAAATAAAAATCAAAACAGTTCTATGATAATATTGACAGTGCCCGATTTTGCAAATTTGTCAAGAACACAACGCAATGAAAAAGTAGCAGATGAGACATTGGAGAGAGTTCACAGAAAATCGTATTCTAGGATTTTTCCTAGAATCACCAAAAAAGAAGACTCAGCAACAGTGTTTCTTTCCACAATTCCTGATCTAGCTGCACAAAATAATAGTTCTAAGCAGATGGATTGGTCTACGTATTTCAGAAACTGTGAAACTCCCACACAACCATCTCTAGGGTTTGCAGAGAAAAAAGAGAAAATATCCAATGAGCAGCAGTTGCTTGGGTAAAAATGCCTTTTTGATGCCAGAAGTCAGAGCAGAATGGCCAGACTGCTTGACGCTGATAGTAAGACAATAGTGACTCAAATAACCACTTACTGTAAAATGACAGGATGCAGAAGAGCATCTCTGAACGCACAACACAGGAAAACGCACAACAGGAAAATGACGGTACAATTTCATTCGAGCTATCCAAATTTGGACAATAGAAGATTATCCTGACCTGATGAATCTCATTTTCTTCTGTGACATTTGGGACAGAATTTGGAATAAGAAATATGAAAGCCTTGTATCAACAGTTCAGGCTGGTGGTGTAATGGCGTGGGGGAGATTTCCTGGCGCACAAACTGAGCATCATTCAAACACCACAGCCTGTCTGAGAATTGTTACTGACCATGTCTGAAAGCAGCCATGTTTAACACACCATGTCACAAAACTCGAATCATTTAAAAACTGCTTTGAACATGACATTGACTCACTGTACTCAAATGGCCTGCACAGTAGATTCAAGATTCAAGAAGTAATTGTATCTGGAACCTACAGAGCACCCTTGGAATGAATCAAGGGTGAATCAATGAATGAATCAATCTACATCAGCATGTTTAAGGAATGTTTCCAAACCCCTCATTGAATCTGTGCAACAAAGAGTTAAGGCTGCTCTAAAGCCAAAAGGGATGTGACCCTGTATAAGCAAAATGTACCTAATAAAGTGGTCAGTGATCTTATTTTTACGAACTGATCCACCAACCGCAAAAAAGAGGGGGGAAAAAAACGGGAAGCGAGCAATTGCAGTTCAGCTTTGTGCCACAGACTTACTTTCCCGTTTCTTAGAAAGAAAACTGAAACTAAGTGAAACTGCTCAGCAGTAAGTAACCAGGCGAGTGCTGTCTGGTTCCATTACACTCTACAGTTGATATCTCCATACTGGACAATTTAAACCAAAAGCGGTGTGAATGGACAAACAGAACTACATGCCAAAAAAAAGAAGAAAAAAAAACTATCAGTAAATTTAGTTTTATAATTATCACCTCAATTGCTTCTGAAGAACAAAAGAAATCACCAGTGATGATGTGCTTAAAGCAATGACAAAACAGACATTAGTACATTAGCCATCACTGCTGGTGAGTTCAGCAGGGCTACGGGCTGCTTATACTCACATAATGCTAAGAGCCCGGGGGTGTGTATTTGTTTGACTCACAAGGCTCACAATAGATCATTTACACTGTTTAGCATGTCATTAAGATGTTTCTAGCCCACACACTCACTTGTAAGCTTCCTTTCTACAGACAACATTTGGCACAAACACTGAATTTCTGTCACCACCACTGAGTGACACCAGAGTGAGATTTTTGGCCCCGCATTGTGTGGCACTACATAGAAACATTAATGATCCAGGTGATGATGTAGCAGTCAGTTCACGGTTGGTAAAATAAGATGTTATAGCTCAGGTTTGTATGAGGAGCTGTGACTGTAGTATGGTTTTAAATGGACATAAGTTAAATCACACGATCAGCTTCCAAGATGATAACTTTTGCTCATCTTTTAACAGTAATTCACATGTTCTGAGACATACAAGCAATACACAAACAGCTTTGCATTGTTTATGAAAAGCAACAATTACATATTACATGTAATAAATACAGTAGATTTAATATGATACCATGAGTTAATTCACTATTCCTACTTTTTTTTATTGTTATGATTCAATTTATTTTATTACCTGCTTCCTACATCTCATCTTTTTCTTTGCTTATTGACACTTAAGACCATGCCTTCAGTAGATATACAATAGACATACAAATATAGGACCTGTTGTGCAGCACAAGCACTTTCAGAAACTACAAAATTGCAGCTTTTAATGTGCTTTGATATTAAAAGCTAGTTTGATAGTTTAAAGGTACATGTTGTAAAAAATAAACCTCAGATACCCACACATGCTGTTTTCACAAGATTTCCATTAAAATGTATCCACCACAGGGTTAATGAAAGCTCATATAGAGAACTGATACTTACTCTAGAACAATTTTCTCTGCGCTGGTGCCCATTAATTTGCTCTCAGTTGGTTTCTGTGTGCCTCTGCTCTTTTCTCTCCTGATGCATTTGCTGAGCTTCAAGCTGGGAGTGAACAGCAAGCAACAGCTCACATATTCTGGACACCCTCCACACCCACTTAACACACACAATCTGGCACACACACACACATACTCTGTGTTCTAATTCAACGCCATCAGCTATAATGAGACAAAAACCCCAGTTATTTAAATTATTAGTATGATCATAAAATGATACTAGTGCAAGGAACAATGTCAAGCAAAAATATCCACACATTATAACAAATAGTAGCTATGGTATTAAAACAGATGGATAGATTTAAAGACTTTGTATGAGTAGAGCACAAGTAAAAGTTTTTCCACTATAATATGCTGTCGATTCCCAAATAAGCTTAAATATTCTATATCTCTGTTCTTCCATTTCTTCTTTCAGCTGCTCTCTTTAAGAGTCACTACATTGGATTATCTGCCTCCATCTCACCCTGTCACTTGCATCGTCTTTGCTCACACCAACCCTCTGCATGTTCTCCTTCTCTCCATCCATTAAATTTTCTTCCTGCCTGGTAGCTCCATAATTCACATCATTTGTCCAATATATCTACTATTCCTCCTCCTCTAAACCATTTCAACCTCACTTCTCCAACTTTGTCTTCAAAACACTTCAAAGAGAATTGAAGTGATAAAACATCAGTTGCAACTATAAAGGTTTGACTTCTTATACCAGTGTCTGTATAATACAGCGACTGATTCTAATGAATGAACACCTTGCTTCACATGTGGCTACCATCCACACCAAATACCAGGAGGGATGCAGAAAGAGGTCAATGATTCACTAAAGCTACTTCAGCGGGACTCCGCAGTAGCTAATCTCCTCCTTAGATTAACTAGGGGCCTTTCACTTGTTTTGTAAATGTGTAAATCACTTCTCAGATACCTGCTGAAATCAGCTTGCTGCTGTCTGAGTTTTGAGCATTGCTGGCACAATGTTGTCTAAGCTGACGTCACAGCAACACTTAATAAAGAGCACTATTTAGCTCGTTTAACATGCAAGAGGTGGTTGAACTGCTCCCTCTTAAATGTAGGTTAATGGGAATGATAATGACTGTTGCAGCAGAATGCAATCAACCTATGTAGAGGATCTGAGTACTTAGGAAAGAATTCCCTTTGATTTTAGTCAACCATATATTATATGCAAAAATGGCTTTAAAATGATTAGTTCTGCCATTTGGTGAGACATGCTCAGATTGTTTGATGGACTCAAGATTTAAAGACAAATTTTGGAGCTGGAAGGAATTGAGTCCTAACTATGTGTGTAATCCCTTGAATTTGCCTGATGTTTTTAGTGGTATATGTCAGGAGATGCATTTTCATCACCCTTAGCTTTAAATTTGGTGCTAATTAGCATGCTAACAGGGCAAACTAGGGTGGTGAACAGCTAAACCTCAAACTTAAAAGAATAAGTAGCGTGAAAGGATACTTATGTCTTAAGAGTTGCTAACATAGCTTTAGACTATTAATGTTGCCTAATCCACAAAGTGACCAATATTTTATATTAAAAAAGGGGAACAACACAGAAACTGTCCATATGGTGGCTTCTGTCTCATTTATTCACAAGGACATGTCTACAGCCAAATCCTGGGTCCAGATGAAGTCCTTGCAAATGTAAATTGGCAATCCATTCAGCATAATCAAATGGAAATGAAAGTACAAATGCACCGATTTATAATCTATGCAGGAGGGGTCATTTTAATTAAGCAGACAAAGCAGACGTAGCGGGTGAAATGTAACACTGTTGGATTCAGGACAACATCAAACACATAAATCCACCAAAGACTCTCATAGTCCCAGTTTTCCCACTGTGGCAGAACTGTGTTTAATGTAGATTCTAAAAGACACTCTGACTTTGCTCAACACTGAGCAAAAATGTTGATAACAGTTGAAGTGATGACATATTGATACATGAGCTATTGACTTAAGTATTGTATATATTGTATTTCCTTAGGACTGAAGGATGATGGATTTCTTCTTTCCAAACTGCATGTCTGCACAAACAAGATATAGAATTTGTATTGTATACATATTAATTCTAATATTTTATTAATATATTTTTTACATTTAGTACAACTATAGAACATCACATTACATTTCACAACACATATTACCTGCATAATAAACCATATTGTTTCAGTGCATAAGTTACTGTTTTGCATAACACAAAAGGGAACAATAGCACAAAGAAAATATATACCGCTCATTGCAGGGGATTGTATCTAGTCTAAAATGTTATCCAAACAAATTTCCACATCATTCTTAAGTAATTTTCTGATTGTAAGCACAATAAATATACCAATAAATAAATATAACCTGTGCAGTACCCTCTGCTTCTATATAAAAATACAGGTGGATGAAATATGACCTTAAAACTAAAATCTTTAGATTTATCTAAAGCCAAAAGGGGTGTGACCCAGTAGATAGATCTAAAATTAGATCTATCAAAATTTATCTTATCATTTTTATGCTGCTTTAACTGTGTTACCATGGTATCCCTTTTTTCGTCATTTGACTTTTGTTTTGGTCGTTAAAGCCTGAGCTGAGTAAATCTGCAGATGTGTGTAGGTTGTTGAATAAGATGGTTATTTGTCCATTCATCTTAGTACAAGGCATTCATATATATCCTCAAGGGCTACCTTTATTTCATTTATGTCCAATTTTAGATCTGAAAGCCAAGTTCTTAAAGAATATTTGATGCAACATTATCTCACAGAAGATGATGTCTTTTATTATCAAACATCTTGACTGTGATCCAGAGTTTCATTAGAGTGAGAAACAGAGGAAATTAAATCGCACAGAGCTACAAGATGAATTCCATGTTTATTTTTAACTGATGATTTTACATCAGAATTAATCAGATAACATGAAGGGAAAAACATTTACTGAAGAGGTAAAAGTCAATCTGATTTTTGATCCTGAACTTTAATGTAGGACAATTTTCTTATTATAAGGTGTCATATCTGTGTGAAAGTTTAATATGTTTGTTGGGTTGTTGGTCAAAGTCATGACAGCAGTGCCAGAAACATAACAGGTGAGAGGAGGAGGAAAACCGGAGTGATGAAGATGTGATCCGCTGCATCGTGGAGCTCGTTTAAACACAGGGCCTGCTCCAGCATTTGGTGGGTCTCAGCACTTATCCCTAAAGGACACAGTACAGAGTTTTTTTGTTAGGATAGAGACAACTAAGTGCTACAACAAAGTCTGCTCTGAAAACCAGAATTGGAGAGCTCACCATGTTGGGACCACTCCTTCCAGGCGTGCAGATATTCAGGGTCATGCTCCCCACCAGTAGCTATATTCAAATTTGATAAAAGTATCTATTAAGACTTTGTATTTTTGAAACTCTATCCACTTGTAACAAGAAAGCTCTGTTTTTACCTTTGGAGTGCTCAATCAGAAGATGTTTCAAATCCCTGAGAGCCCTGGTGAGGTTCTCCAGTTGGTGCTGCAGGTGGAGGTTTTCTTCTTTCAGAGTGTGGATGGTATCCTGGAGCTCGTAAGCTGAGCCGGAGTGTGAAAACAGAGAAATTATCCAAAGCACTGCGGTGACATGCATAATGGAGAACATTGTGGCAAATAATAAATGTGCTGTTGCTGGTCACAGTCCTGCTGAATCTCTCTTCAGCTGCAGAGTGCTTTAAAGTCAGGTGGAAGTGTTAATGTTATTGAGGAGCTGACTTGTTTCTGTGTCAGAATTGATTCACTGATGGGTAGTTAAATGCTCTTAGCCCGCTTACCCACTCAAATGGATCAATTGTTCTGTTTTGGATCTTAGAGCCCAAATTACAGACACGGATAGAGCTGGTTTGGAGTTAATAAACCTTCATCCTAAAACAAAAACAAACAAACAAACAAAAAAAACAAAAACAAAAAGTACCTGTGAATTTGAGCAGTGCACTGAAGAAATTAAGTCAGTAAGTAGTTATCTCCTTAAACCTACTAATAGTCAGACAAATCTCTGTGTCTATATGACAGTTCGTCCCATCCACTTTAAACTTGGCAAGTGTATTCTTGGGGTCTTTTAAATGTGTCTTCCTTTATTTGGCTATCTTTGTGAGATTTGTGGATTCTCATTAGCTATATTTGTAACTTTTACAGCTAAGTGCCCAACCCTTTATCTTACCCTAACATAAATTTAATTTTAACTTGTCCCTTCACCCCAAAAAGACAATTCTTTCACAATTCTTCATTACTTTGCTTGCCTAAAACTAAACTGGTTCTCAAATGATTATTTATTTATGTATTTGTTGCTTTTGGTTTCCTGTAAATAAATAAAATACTTTTTATTTACTTATGCTATTTAGGTACGCTGCACTGAGCTGTGGCCACAAGGTGGTTGATGCCTGTCCTGGGGGTAACCCCCAAACCAGATGGTGGACACCAGAGGTAAAGGGAACCATCAGGCTGAAGAATGAGTCCTATTGGGCTTGGTTAGCCTGCAGAACTTCGCAGGCAGCTGATATATACCAACAGGCCAAGCGGAACACTGCCCAGGCAGTGGCAATAAGTTGGACGTGTTCCTGGTGGGTGTTGGACTCTGCCAGGGCTGCCCTTTGTCACCAATTGTGTTTCTAATTTTTATGGGCAGAATTTTTAGACGTAACCAAGTGGCGGAAGGCTTCCACTTGGGTGGTCTCCGAATCTCGTCTCTGCTTTTCTCACCTGATGTGGTTCTGTTGGCTTCATCAGGTTGTGGCCTCCAGCTTGCACTGGAGTGGTTCACAGCTGAGCGTGAAGCTGCGGGAATGAGAATCAGAACCTTTGAGTCTGATGCCATGGTCCTCAACTGGAAAAGGTTTGAGTTATTGCCCCAAATGGAGGAGTTTAAGTATCTCGGGGTTTTGTTCACAAGTGAGGGGAGAGTGGAGTGTGAAATTAACTGACGGCTTGTGCTGCAGCTGCAATGATGCGGACGCTGTACCAGCCCATCATGGAAAAGAGAGGGCTGAGCGTAAAAGTGAAGCTCTCGATTTACCATT